TATTCCTAAACCTTTGGTGTTACTGTGGGCTCCTCTATCCCCTGTTTTTGCTAACCTTTATGTGGAATAGTGCATAACTTTTTTTATTTTCCTACTATTGGATGTGCCCTTCTCTCAGGCTTCGATTTTGTACATACTGCCTCTTCCCCCACATGCCTAGTTTTTTCCAACCTTTTCGTGATGTGCTTAACAATCCTGCTCCCCCTCTGTCAAGTTCAAAGCTGAATGGGTACTAACTCTTTGCTTCCTTTCTTGGATGTACAGTACAAAGTCCCTTGCTTGGTGACAGGCTTTTCTTTTCCATTTTTTATTGCAAACCAATGCACAGTGGTATCTGCATTTACTAATTTCTTACCACTCATTCCTCTAAACCCAAAAAAAGTGTTCTTATTTCTCTCTTTCTCTATGCTTTCACATTTGTGATCCTCAGTTTCTTGACTCTGTAATTTCCTCTCTCTGCAATTAGTTCTCTCAAATTGGCTACCCTTCTGACTTTATAAACTCTGCCTTCTCACGTGCTAAATGGACTTTCTTCTTTCCCAGACTCCTTACTCCTGTGAAATCTATTCATTGCCTTCTCTGTATTTCCATTTTCTTAATTTTAACAGTACCCTCTGTTCCTTAGACCTCAAACTTACTTTTCACTTAGCCATAGTAATCTAGTTCACACTTCTCCTGCTACTGATGATTCCAGAGTCTACTTCATTTCCTGCTCCTTTTGCCCTCTCCAATACTTTGGAGAAATTGGCAGCTCTCTTTCTGACAGAACACAAAAGAAGTGTTAGCCATGTTGACACTAACAGTGCTCTTTTCTGTTATGTTAGTGATCATGGTCATTCTCTGCCAAAACTGTCTACCCTTCTAGCTTTCAGAGACACCATCTTGTTGAAGGATCCTTTATTCACAACTTTCCCGATATGAATCTTAGTCTTGGTTTTGTAGATGCCTTTCTTTCTCAATACATTGTCAAATGCTCCAAATGTCAGAACACTTGTGACTTGACCTATCTTTATCTCCTCCTTTCCTTACCTTTTATCCTTCCCTACATTTTCTTAGCCTTTCCAATCTTCTGCCTAGGAGGATTCTGTCCTGTGGGGTTTGTCCAACTGGGATTTGGTCATACCCTCATGGGCCATGAGCTCCCCTGCAGTGCTCCTCTTTTCTCTTTACTAAGTCCCCACCCCTCTGCCCCCTTTTTTCACTACCACTACCACCTTCTTATTGCCACTTCTATCACTGCTGCACCATTTTTTCTATTACCACTTTAATACTCTTGTTACACCGTTCTTGCCGCTGCCCCCTTCTCATATATATCCTAGCTTCCTTTCCTTGGTGCTTCTGTTTGACTAGTTAACCGTCCAGGTCAGACTGAATTATTATTATTATTATCCCCTCAAGGGAGGCTCTTTGACGCTGGTGAGGGGCTCTTGATCTAAGGAATTGGATCTGTGCTCTGGTTCCCTGAATTGAGCCTGAATACCTTCCATCCCCCCCACATGCGCTGTATGATCCTATGGGTTTAGCGCTTCCCCCATGATTATAATAATATTATTATCAATAAGAAGTGCTAAACTGGTCAGATTGAAACATCATTAAAAGTTTGTCTCTGTGTAGGTTATTTGTGTATTGTTCCAGTCATGGCACTATGCCTTTTTATTCTTTTTGGGACTCTGGCAAGACAATGAAAAATGGGGATAAGTTGGTGCAGAAAGTGTATTTGTGCTGATCACATCCATTTGGGAGTGGACGTGTCAGCGGATGGGTCTATGAAAGATGAGGTGAAAAGGGTGAGTGGTGCAATGAGGAGTCTGTGGAGACAAAGAACTTTGTCCTTGGAGGCAAAGAGGGGAATGTATGAGAGTATAGTTTTACCAACGCTCTTATATGGGTGTGAAGCATGGGTGATGAATGTTGCAGTGAGGAGAAGGCTGGAGGCAGTGGAGATGTCATGTGTGAGGGCAATGTGTGGTGTGAATATAATGCAGAGAATTCGTAGTTTGGAAATTAGGAGGAGGTGCGGGATTACCAAAACTGTTGTCCAGAGGCTGAGGAAGGGTTGTTGAGGTGGTTCGGACATGTAGAGAGAATGGAGCGAAACAGAATGACTTCAAGAGTTGTATCAGTCTGTAGTGAAAGGAAGGCGTGGGTAGGGGTCGGCCTAGGAAAGGTTGGAGGGAGGGGGTAAAGGAGGTTTTGTGTGCGAGGGGCTTGGATTTCCCCAGCAGGCATGCGTGAGCGGTTTGATAGGAGTGAATGGAGACAAATAGTTTTTAATACTTGACGTGCTGTTGGAGTGTGAGCAAAGTAACATTTATGAAGGGGTTCAGGGAAACCGGCAGGCCGGACTTGAGTCCTGGAGATGGGAAGTACAGTGCATGCACTCTGAAGGAGGGGTGTTAATGTTGCAGTTTAAAAACTGTAGTGTAAAGCACCCTTCTGGCAAGACAGTGATGGAGCGAATGATGGTGAAAGTTTTTCTTTTTCGGGCCCCCCTGCCTTGGTGGGAATTGGCCAGTGTGATAAAAAAAAAAATAATTGACCTTTGGAAGCAAAATAGGACTAAAATGAGGTCAACAAATCAAAAATTTAGGCACTGAATTATCTATTTTAGAAATATGTATCCCTTTAGTAGGGATTTCTTATCAGAATGAACGGCTTTAACGCCATGCCTTTCTTGAGAGAGGTGCCTTGGTGTCAGTGAGAGGCCTTTGATCTGAGGAACTGGAGTTTTCCTTTCCTTCCCTGGATTGAACCTGATTGCCCAAGCTCTGTTTGATCCCCGACAAATTTAGTGCCCATAAAATAACAAGCATAACAAGCATCTTGTTATTTTATGGGTAATTGGAGCTTGTCTCCCTGTCCTTGGAGTGAACCTAGGTACCTACCTCCCCATTCCCCATCCTTCCCACTTCTCTGAATAAATTTGCAGCAGCTTATAGCCTGTGATTTAGCTTGGACTTTTTTAGGTAGGCTTCCACTTGTGCACCGCCTCTAATGCTAATGCTACAAATCAATATTGCCATTGCTGCTGATGCCACTGCTGATACTGCCATTGTTTGTCACCAACACTGCTGTAATTATTATTATTATAATCAAAAAAGAAGCGCTAAGCCACAAGGACTATACAGCTGTAATTGTTAATATGACTGATGATGCCACTGCCTGTTGGTGGGTACAGTTTTGTTTTATTTTTCCCCACTGCTCTATTTTTTTAATAGTCTTCAAATTTCTAGCCCTTTACAGATTCTCTATGCCATTTTGCTACTGTTTGATGTGAAGAGCTCTGATATAGGAATTGGAGCTAAACTCCACTTAACCCTTAACAGCCAAATTTCTATACGTTCACTGGTAGCACCCCAAAAATATGTTTTTTTTTGCATCATTCAACTTCCACGATAACCCTGAGTCACCTAGACATGAGAATGGTGTGCGCATCACTGTGCGCCAATTAAAAATAATTGGGGGGTGCCTGGGTACCATATCTCTTTTTTTTTTC